AGAGAGAGAGAGAGAGAGAGAGAGAGAGAGAGAGAGAGAGAGAGAGAGAGAGAAGGAAAGAAAGAGAAAAAAAAAAGTGGAGATCTGGGATCTGGCTTGATGAGCAGAAGCTGTTATTCTAGGCCTAGATATGGTAACTATGAACCCAGGCATTTGAAAGGTGAAGGAAAGAAACAGCCCTTGTTAGAAGTGGGGCCAAGGGCATCTGATTTCTTTTGGTTTTTTTACTGGTAGTTTTTATTTTTTAAATTTTTCTAGTCTATCCTTTTATTGGTACATTTTAGGTGTACAATATAATGACATTCATCATTGGAGATATGCACCTTTACATACTCTCTTGGTTCTTATTTTTTCCCCCTTCCCCTGCCCTCTCTTTAACAAGGGCATCTGATTTCTGAGACCTGTGAGACACTCTAATATGGCATCGTTTCTCAAGAACTCTTTCAGGATGTTAAGGGTATGTAAGTTGGGGTACCCTGTTCTTCAGAATGAAAAGACAGTAAATCTGAATTTACTTATATAAATCTGAATTTGTATAGTTAGAGGGATTCTCAGGTAGTTGGTAAGACTATGAAGATTATGAAGAAAAATCCCCCAGGTACATATGCTACACAGATTTGATCTTTGGTTCTGGGAACTTCTAAGGCTACTAAATGGATGCAGAAGGAACTTGCTCAACTCCAAAACCTCACTATTCTTATTTGGAATAAAGCTTACAAGTTTATATGTACAAACTGAACAACTGAATGATATTCACAAAAATACACAACCTGTTTTATGCTGGTACTTAATTAAAATGTTTATCTAGAAAAACCCAGTTGGATAAGGCAAAAATACAGTAGAGTATCCCACTATCAAAGACGCTCCTAAACCATGCTTAGGCATTACAATTATTTGTCTTGTTTTGGCATTGAGCACTTGGCTTAACATTGAGTGAACGTTAGGGTTACCTTTCATCTTTTGCATCTTTTGTCACAGGGAGTTTTGCTTTATTTTAAATTTCCTATTTGAAAATGGCACTAAATTATTTTTAGCATCTTTGCATGCATAGCAACTAAAAGGCTACCAAAGCTGATTTTAAATAGCTCCACTGAAACAGCCACAGCAAAATGCATAGCAGAAAAAGTCTCAGTGCTTTTGCTTAACCTACAAAAAGAAAAGATAAATACTCATTTTCCTTAAAAAATGATGTCAGTACTGTATTTCATTATGGCTGGGGACAATAATGCTCAGTGTTAGTGTTATCCTGTTCGGATGTACAGCGAGTCAGCAACGCAATTTCTAGCCTTTCTGTTTCTGAGGGCAAGGGACATCTTTCAACTTGTGCAGCTATCCGGAGCCCCCATCCCCTTTACGTGGCGGGGACTCTGCAGTCAAACTCCTCTGGGTCCAGATCGCTCCCTAGTCTCTGGGTCACGCAGGTGCCAGGGGCCGGATTTGTGTCCCGTGTAGTGGTGACTCACGGCCTTGTCTTCTCTCCCCGCGCAAGGTGCGCCTCGCCGGGAGCCCGCCACAGAAACCTCGGTGCCCACGCGCTCAGGCCCCCTCGGGTCACTCCTTGCAGTGGTGGGGGACAGTGACCCTGCTGATGCCCTTCCCCAGAGTCCGCAGGTGAGGAGCCGTCCGGCGTGCGCCAGGCCGGGGGCGCAAAGGAGCAGGGCGCCCGGGGCCCGGCGGCGGGCCGGGCGGGGTAGGGCGCGGGTCCGAGCGGTGGCGCCGGTGGAGCATGTGACCACGCGCGGGGCCGGGCGCGCAGTGCCGCGCGGTGGCGGCAGCGAGGAGCGCAAAGGAGGCCGCGGGCGCCTGAGAGGCGGGAGCGCTGGTGTGGCGGAGGCTCTGGAGGCTGTGCCACTCGCTCGCCGTGGACCGCGCGTGGCCGGGCCGCAGTTCCTCCCGGCGGGGACCGCAGGTGAGCGCCTTTCTGGTTGGCGGCCGGAGCCAGACAATGGGGCGCGGGCGTCGCCCCCGGAGCTCGCTCGCTCGCGCCCGCCCCTCCGGGCGGGCCCTGGCGGCGGCTGCAGACTCGCGACCTTGCCGGGGCGTGGGCTCGCACAGGCGGTTGGTCAGGCGGCCGGGGCTGGGACGCGGAGCCTGGGCGAGGAACCTGCGCGCGGCGTGCGGGCTGTGAGTCCCCGCGAGGGAAGCCTGCGGCTGGCTCACCCCGGGAACTTGACGAGAGCGTGGGACCGCTGGTTCCCGCTCCTTCCCGCGTCCCGGCAGCCCGTCCCCGGTCCCTGGTCCCTGGCTGCGGCGGGGACAGAGCTGGACCTCGCGGTCTACCAGCCGGGACGCCGACCCGCCTCAGTCCTCTTTCCCCTTCCCCCGAGCCGCGGGGCTTTGTTTAACCTCTGCCAAGCCGATTCGCACAAACACTTGTGGCCCCAATTCTGATGAGCCAACAGTTCGATGGCTGAGGCGAGACAAAGGTTTCCCCTGTTTATCAAGGGCTGGAGCCCGGGGACGGCGCGCCGTCAGGGTGTGAAGTGGGTTCGCCCTGTCCTCCCCTCTGGGCTTGCTGCGGTGGCTTTTCCGGTACCCTAACCAGCCTTTCTTGCAGAGCTCTTTGGTGGCCAGATCGGATCTCCTTAACCCTAGGATGCCTAGGTGGGTGGGTGATGGCTTTTTAAAAGAAATGTGATCACCAGTAAACTGAAGGGCAGATGCGTGCATTAGGAGATGTTTTCGGGATGGAGGCATCATACTCATTTTGTGAATTGTGGATTTCAAGAGAGAATATATATTGGCAGACACACTGATTCGGTGGGGGGGGGCGGAGAAAACCTAGTAACTATTACCATGTGTTGTAAAATCTTAATATGGTTTTACGAATATTGCCCAGGAAACTGATCTGGTGTAGTGCTTGCGTGTGTGCGTGTGTGTGTGCTTGTGTGTGTGTGTGTGTTTGTGTTGGTAGCGGTGGTGGAGAGGCAGTGGTTAGTATACAAAGGATAAGGTAATTTTAGTAAAAGGTTCTTAGTAAATATCCTGTGGCAAATTTTCAAATCATTAAGTTATCAGTTAAGTCAATGATCCCCTGTAAAAATTACCTACAGTAGTTGAATTATATATAAAATGGCTAACAGTTATTTGGCATTGTTTGTGACTCAGGAATCTGAATACAACAGTCCATTTGGAGTCCTTTTTTAAAAAGTCAACAAAGGGAAGACACCTTCCCTACTCCCTCCTTTATTTTATTCTTTGGGAAAAGAATCCAGTTCATTATGTTTAAAAGAAAAATTGCCTGTAAGGAAAAAAAATGTGAAAGGCAGTTTTTTTAAAAAGAAATATTTTGAAGTGTCTTGTATAGCCTTGCGATTGCATTGTATATTCCTTTAACTCAGACATATGGAGGGAAAAATCATGCTATTGATTGCTTTGTTCTACTATTGATTATTTAAAATGTGTATCATTTAAAAGCTTATGTTTATAGTCACTTCCAACAAATTAAGAAACTTTGAGTCACAAGAATTGGCAGTAGCTATAGAGCACCGAGTGTGCAGTCAGGCATATGATTATACTTAGGCTGTTGATAGAAGAAACAAAAGCTACTATATGGTCCTTCATAATGTAAGCTATTATCGCTAGATGAGGAAACTGTATTTTAAAATTTCTTCTTCCACAGTTTTAGAGTAATTATTTGAAATTTAATTAATATGAAATTCTTCAGGGCAAGGGATTTAGTCCTTTTTTATGTGGTCCAGATTTCCAATGCAGCACATAGCAGGTGTTTGAAAAATAGGGGTAAAAAAGAATGAACTGATGGGCCGGGAATTTAGCTCAGTGGTTCCACCGCCTGCCTCACAAGCACAAGGACCCAAGTTCAATCCCGGGTACCAAAAAAAAAAAAACAAAAAAAAGAATGAGCTGATGAAAAATAAATTGCAAATGCATACAGCATTGATACAGGTGGAACTGACTTGCTTCTTTTCATTTAATGAACATTTTTTGAGGGCCTACTGTGTGCCAAGAACTGTGCGAAGTGTTTCCACATGCAGCTCATGAAAGCCTGTGGCCACCCTTTTTTGATCATAGTGGATGAGTTTCTTTGAAGAATGGGGCCTCTAGGCTGGTTTTAATGGTCATCTCCTGTGCCAAGGAGGACAGTGGAGCATTTCACTTGTTATGTGTGTTTATACTTTCTCTCAATGGCCCGTCGGGAGGCAGGCAGATACCATCATTCCCGTTTTGTAGCTGAGGAAATCCAGACACAGCGGGATTAAATGACTTGCCAGCTCCATGGCACTAAGGCAGTGATGCCAGGCACAGAAGCTGGATCTCATGCCTGGCGCTTTCGCCTCTGATTCAGGCTTCTCCAAGATAACACTGCAACCCCAGAAAGTCACACTTCAGTTAGGCTTCATGAAAAGGCTACCTTTTGGCTTACTTTTATATAAGGGAGAGTTGTATTTGACCACCTAGTACTAACAGGACTGGGTAAATGTGCCAGTTCTGGAGGCTTTGTTAATTACTGCCCTTTGTCCTTGGTAAGTGATTTGATCCAAGCTTCTGTTTCCTCATCTGTAAAATGGGAGCAGTAATAGTATTTCTCTTACAAAATTTTTGTGAGAATCAGATGAATTATGTGTGCATATGTCCTTAGCACAATGTCTAGCTCAAACTAATCACTCAGTATCAGGTCATTTTTATTCCCATTATTATAATGTAAAACAGTAGCTTTAAATTGTTGTTATTTTAGAGGCACAATAAGAGATGCATTTTACATTGTCACTGCATATACAGATATGCATACATATGTAATTTTAAAAAATTTTTGAAGTAATGCTTAGATTTCCTATGTACAGTGCAGTCTCGTATTTCTCTTCTATTTTGCTTTTTAAAATGCTAGTTGAGCTCTAAGGACTGATTTCACATTCCTTTCCTGTGCCAAGACCTATAGTTTAAAAACCAATGCACAGGATAATCAGGTGAAGTACACTGAAGAAAACTCTGTTGTTGAAACTTTAGGTTTTTCCTTTGTATGGTTTACAACATCAGTTGAGATTTGAATATTAAACTATATATAAAAATAGGTCCTTAAAGGGCCAGGGACATAGCTCAGTAGTAGAGCACTTGCCTGCCATTTACAAGGCCCTAGATTCAATCCCTAGTATAGAAAAGAAAGAAACAAAAAACTCAACAACAACAAAAAATATATTTAAACACTTCTTTGTAATGATCATTTATTGAGTATCAAGGTCAAGTTCCTGTAGTAAGCAGTCTATTTATACACGTTATCTAACTTGGTTCTCATACAGGACTGCCAGGAAGCCTTGTGTTTCCATTTGATAGTCTAAATGAAGACTCAAAGAGGCTTTCTTAACTTGTCCAAGGTTCCCAGCTTAGGGATGGAGTAAGGATTCAGACTGAGCTCTGTGCAGCCCAAGCTTGTCTGTCCTTTTAACCCCTACTTTCTGTTCTGATGTCCCCTTGCAGTAGTTTCTGAAGATATTTCATGTCTTCTCTAACATAAATTTGAATGGCAAGATCAAGAATTTACTCTATATGGCATCCTTTCTATATACATCCTTTCTCGGTGTCTTTTGAATGGACTCATTTGGTTTTCAGCATAATAAAGGGTGCTTACTGAGGAGACTGATCATCCATTCTGGCTTTAGCTGGTCTTTGATGTAAATATTTTGTAGTAGCTTCTCAGGTTTTTGTGATAGTCAATTAACTGGTCATTTTGAACACACAAGATTTAATAAATCTTCAGAAGAGACACAAAATAGCTGTGTAGCTATAAAAAGACCTCATTACGAATGAATGTTGGCTGTTAAGGCACAAAATGAGGACTTAAGAGCTGCAAAGGTATTTATAGTATATTGATTGGTCTCAAAATCACAAGGCAGTAAAAGTTTATTTTATAAAGTACTCGTAAGAAACTACCACCAGCTATCCTATTAATACACACGTGTGTGAACAAAGTTCTTTATAAATGTTTCTTGTGTTTGTAGTAGTTTAATTTTAATATTTTGGTATTTCTGGGGCTTTCCTTCTTAAAAATGTCAGGAAGAATTAGAGTTTTTAAAGAAATATATTTTAAAAATAGTACATAGAATACAAGCTATTTTAAATGATGATGGAGAGACAAATTTCGCTGTTTACACAGATATCTTATAGATTCACTCAAGTTTGCATTATTTCTGTTTACAGGTAGGAGTATATCATGAATAAGATAATGACAAGTGCTTAAAGATCTATAAATTGCTTTTACCTTATAGTATTGGATAATTCTATATGCATAGAGCTTTAAACTTTTTTTTTCATTACTGCCTTTGCCCTGAGCTACTTCCCCAGCCCTTTTTTTCATTTTTTGAGACAGGGCCTCTAAATCACTAAGTTGCCCAGGCTGGTCTCAAACTTGTAATCCTCCTGCCTCAGCCTCTGAGAGTGCTGGGATCACAGATCACATATTTAAACAGTTTATTTCCTGAATTTAAGGTTAATCTTTTCAAAGCTGGTAATTTTAAAATCAGAATTTGTGTAGATTATGATGAATTATGGGGGTTAAAAAAATCCATATATTTCTGTTGGTCATCATTTTCTAGTAAGATTAGGCAAATATAGATATAGTTGGATTCATTATTGAACATCACATTTCATCTTTCACCCTCAAAAATGTTATGCAGCTAATGAAACCAAATACTATTGTAATAGGTCAATGTTTCATGCTTATTTTATTAATTTATTCCTTTTGTCTAATGCTTGACCCTTTAATGCTTTATTACAGTTTTTGTGAGGAACAAGAAATGTTCTAGGTATGGAATGGTCACTATCACTGTATTTTCTGTGTTCAGGCAGATAGAAGCAAGGTTACCATGATATTTTGCTACTCTTTTTTTTAGAATGAAAAGTAAAATCATTTTGGATATTTACTTGTACTAGTTACTTTGAGGAAGATGGATACGA